TCGGGATGCCGTGTTATGTGATACAGCATGACAGGCTACATGGGAAGACTGGGCAGAGATCAATCCTGTTAAAATAGGAGGGACTACCTGATCTGTTCTTAAGCTTTCTGCGGGCACCTTAATTTGCTTGTGAGATATATGTAGATGGAGCCCTGAAGCAAGTCAGTAAAATTTAATGTTAAAGGTAAGCCTGAACTGAGGTTCCTCTTTTTTTGTGTGTTGTGTAACCTCTTAGAACTAATGACAGGCTGTGAACGCTGGACCGCTCACTGAGAGCAAGGTGAAATATATGTTTATTCAGCTTGTGGTTTTATTACTTTTTCTTATTTTTTTTTTTTAATTTTAGCATTCATTTTGGGTTCATACTACCTCTGCTGCAGATAGACTCTTCTGGTCAGGTGATGCTGATGCTTTTATGTTTTTTTCAGTGTTAGCTCTGCCCGAGGTGGCCCCAGTGCTGCTGTTTTAGAATGAGGAGCACTGCCTGCATTGAGTCTTTCTGTGGCTTCTCTTCTTTAAACCTCTTCACCACTTTGCAGCTGATATTGATGTCCTTTACTTTCAGACAGGCAAAACTATATCTGGTGCCACTGTGTGTACTGTTCAAGGAAAGACCAAAAAAGCAGGGCAGTTTGATTTTCTCTGTCAAGTAGACAAAAAGAGATGGAAGCCGTCAGCTCCAGAAGAGCCGTGTGTGCTGCCCCATCTTAGATCAAGTGCCTGTGAAGAACAGGCTACCTTATACCTGATTTTTTTCCTTCTTGGAGCAGGTCAGTAGTTAAGGGCTCAGCAATGGACTGTGTCTTTTTTTTCCCTTCTCCTTCCTTTCAATACTAGAGAATGACTGCCCAGAAGCAGTGCCTGACAGGGGAGAATTATAGCTGCCTATTTACAGCCCATTTCCCTGGAAGTGGCATCTAGGGCAGCACAGAGTAAATTTCTTCCTCTCTTTTCTCGCTGGGAAGAGATTGTCAGATGTAAGGAGGAGAGTGCAGAAAGGCTGGGAACCATGAATTTAACTCACTTATTTTTATTTCAATAATAACTACACCTGGAATTCTCTGGTGGAGCAGCAGTTTGAGAACAGCCAAGATACATCAAGAGTCAGAGGTATAGGTGCTAAAACTGTGCCCAGTGTTAAGCATTTCTGGCTTCTTTCTATATCCAACAATATACCCTAGCTATTTTGTTTTCTAGATAAGCCTCTTCCATTTAAAGAGATTTTCTTTCCTCCATTTAGTTGAGCACTGAATTTTTAACGGTTATTTTCTGGTCCATATCATTTTCAGGAAGGAGGTTAAGCAGGATTTCATCTTTATTTTAGATAGTATTGTTAGCCACAAGGAGCTTGCAAATCTGAAGAAAGGAAGTAGACAGGTGGATATATAAGGTTTTGCTCTACTTGCTGCGTTGTATTTGTGATTCCAGTTTTGCTTGTATGTATTTTTCCCCAGTAATTTTATACAAATATTGCAAGTAACAAAATGCCTGTAATTCCTGACATTCCTAGAGTCCTACTTTGTATTGGACTATATTTATACATCAAGGCAATAGTAGACCCTTTTCTAACTCCAGATAATCCTCCTCACTTGAATATTCAAGTGCTTTTTGGTAATTAGTTATCTTACATAATTGCTACGTTTTCTCTGAGGGCAGGAAGCTTTGCTTCTATTTGACAGAAGGAACCTGAGCCACCAGGCTGAGCGCATTATTCCTCCATATTCCACGCAGAGCCTGCTGCTGCTGAAATAAGAATTATACTCAAATACAATTCTGGCTTTACGATGAGAATATTACAGAGTAGCTACTGCTGGTGACGCTTTGGAGTTTTTATGTACAGGAGCCCTTCTGTTTTCATTTCACTTCATTACATGCACTGTTCATTTTGCTATTTGCTATTTTGCTCTAGCTCCAAATCAGAGTAGACCTCCTGGAGAAGCTAATAGTGGGATTGTAAACCCTGCTGGGAGCTACCTGCATCCCGCCGTTTGGTCGCTGCAGAGGAGTTACAGACTCGGTAGCGGGAGTTCATCAAAACGGGAGCACATCAGTGGTTGCTTGTGGTATTCAGAGATCCCAGTGCAAAATACTCATCAAAGCATGTGACATTTTAGACCCTTTGCTGGCATCTGGCTTCTATGTGTGCATTCATTAATTTTAAGGATTTACTGCAGAGTTTAGATTCTTCCTGCAAATTGCTTGGTTTCTGCCATTAATTATTCACCATCCATGGTGTCTGATCATGTCATTTTTGAGGTATTGCCTCACTTAGCTGCCTTCTTGTCTGTCCTGTCCCTGTCATCCCGTCGTCCCGTGTCGTGTCGTGTCGTGTCTCGTCTCCCCCCCCCCCCCC